AGTCAGCTGTGGTAAGGATCACATGAAATACATTTAAAATGTTTTAAAAATTGCTGATTTGGATAATCTAGGACATTACACTGAGGAAAATATTTTTCACTCATTGCATTAAGCAAATGGATATTATATTTTTCCCATTTTCAGATTATTCATCATGTTGTAAGTTAATTTTCACCATGGATTTGTAGGTCCACATGCAGTAGAAACAGCTTTCTGAGTTAGTTACTGCAAAACCCATAGCAATCCAGTCCATTTGAGGTCACAGTGATCCTGTAGCGTTCTCAAGGAAGTTACTTTTGCAGCAGCACACAGCTGCATCTTTCTCCTACCCTGTCGTTAGCAGAAGCCCGCATTTTAGCAACTTGATTTTGGTTCTATTAGCTGCTAACCTATTCATCTCTAAGACTTTTCTTACATGGGAGGATACTTGTTAGCTTGGTGGTCTAGTGAAAATGGATAGAGTTTCATTTTTATAAAGATCACATGCAAGTGTTATTTTAAACGACACAGCAGAAATAGTTTGGATGAATCTTCACTGTCATGCTGTTTGTCAGCAGGCATGTGGTCTAGAACTGGTTGTTTTCTCAGACTGGGAAACCTCTGCTGCTTTCAGCACTCTTTCATGGTGAGCCCGCTGCTCGTTCCTCCACTTCATGCTGTGGCCCGTGATGTTTTACCAGGGATTGTGTGGAATCTTACTATTTGATGAGTCCATGCATTTCTTTAAAAATAAACAACTTGGAGGCATATTTTCCCTCTTACAACTATTTCTAGTATTTCCTATTTCTAGTCTCTCTACCATCCTGAAAGTCTTATAAACATTCTTTTTTTTCATGATTATTACAGTGATTTATCTGCTTTCTATTTCAAAGAAACCACAAGGTGAAGACTAATTTTATGTCACTGTTACTCAAGAAGTAAACCCGATACTGATTTAACCAAACAGAGAAAGATAGAAACAAAGTTCAGAACTAGAAAGTGCAGTAATTCCTTGAACACATTTCACCATTGGTTACTCCTTTGATGGAGTACTGTTTTCATTTGAATGGCATTTACAGGTCAATGAAAGATCTTAGGGTTTAGAGAAGAGCCACCTTCAAAAGAAGATGATCCAGTAGAACAGATTAAAATCATGGGGATCCTTGCCTGGGGAAGGAGAAAATGTGATTCAATATCTTCAAATACATATAAAAAAAGGTTATTTTTAAATGGTGGTATAGAGTTCCACAAAAATCGCAGAAATTTAGTTGGGAATTCAAAAAGATTCATTTAAATATAGGAAAAATGATGAAGTCTACATTACTGGCAATCTTCAAAAATTGCACAGAACACTTTTTTGGTTTTAATAATTTAGTCACTGGCCCTCCTGAAAGAGACTCAATAAGACAATCTCTGATTGCGACTATACTATATTCATGTATCTACAGTGAAGAGACTACTAGTTTAAACATGTATATTAGCTAGATTCTGGTTAAAATTATGTACAAGGAATCCTAAAAACACAAAGACAAAAATACGTCCCAGGAAAGTAAACTTTCACTCACAGTGCAGTAGATAGGGTCAATGCAGCGTTAAAAAGATGATGGGATGTATAGTCAAAACTACAGCCACTTCCTATGCAGTTGGCTATCATTATATTACCCAACGCCTCAAATGTCAGTAACATATACAAGAATTATTTTCCACAGACTGGGGCAGCTCATATGATTTTGTTGGGGTGGCAAGGACAGGTTGAGTCCAGGTCTTCGTCACAAGTCCTCAGCCCGCTTGGAGCAGCAGGCTGGCCAGGTCATGCACTTGGAAAACGACAGCAAGGCACTAGGGAGTCAATGGAAACACCAGTGCCTCTTAGGACACCAGCTTGGCACTAGCACTTTGTCAGCTGAGTTCACATTTTAATGGTCAAAGTAAGTCACGTGGACAAAGGTAGGAACTACAAAAGCACACGACAAAGAGCACACACACAAAGGGATAGTGAGCAATTGGAGCCAATGGGCAAATGACCACTTTCTCTATGTCAGTCACACAATCATCCAAGGATTTCTGGGGAATTATTTGGCATGGCAAATACCTGTGTTTTTTCACCTGTGACTAACATATTATAAGATCTAGCTGCTTTGTACCTACTATGATTATGCTAGAGTAAGCTCTATGGGTGAGATAGGAAAATGAGATAAATCACTCAGGTGTGAGGTGAAGAAAGCTGAGGATGGGGAATCAGCTAGTTCTTCCCCTCCAGCTTTAGTAAGAATTATAAAGATTTCAGTATTGGCATAGTTTAACAAAATATACTTTAAATCCTTTTTAAGGGAGAATTTAAGAATCTTATTTCAGACAATAACAACTATTTGAAGGTATATAGTTTTAACTTACAAAACCAGTCTAGGTTCGCATCAACTCATTGTTCTTTTGGACTTACGACTCATCCTAAAAAGGCTATGATAGTAATTAGGTGTTATTGAACAATCTGATGATTCCTGGTGGAAATGGAAACAAAATTATCTGATTCTTTTCACTAATTTCCCTTGAATAAGCATGATAAATAAGAATTTAAGAATACTCAAGCATTTGTTACTAAAGAATTGAAGTGCTGTCTGCTAACATGGCTATTACCCAGTAAGCTTCAAGTCTGATTCTGAATGAATGAATTAGGATTCTTTTTCATTGTCTCAGATTAGTATGTAGAAAAGGTAGGAAGCCAGCCGATCTAATGGCATGATCAAAGGGAAATGGTGATGCATAACTGGCACGTCACAGCAGCCTAGAAGAAAATGTACCAAAATTATGAGTGCTTGAAATTTGTCTTCTCTTCTGCATGATCATTTTAATTACAGCAGCAACTCCCATCTATTGACCTCTTGCTATAAACCAGGCACTATTCTAAGTGCTTACATCTATGATTTTATTTAATCCACAAACAACCTGTTGGGTTAGAACTTCCTATCATTGTGTTTTACAGATAAGGACACAGGCACAGAAAAGTTCTTGTGCTTCAAATTCTCTGTAATTCACATGAATTATTTTTAAACAAGGAATAAAATCGTAACCTTTTACAATACAAACATGGTACCATTTGGGGGATTAGCCACTTGAATGTTTACCGCCTGTAGAGCTTCTTCTCCAGGATGGTAAAGTGCTGCATTGGAAAGGCTTTGCAGCCCAATATAGTCACTTGCTTTGGACAAGTGATTAATATCTCTGAATCTCAATGTTCCTCTCATGTCTCAAGATTGCCGAAGGTACCAAATGAAAGATGTCAAAACAACTTAGAGCTGTAAATGACTGTGTAAATGTAGGGTGTGACTTATTGTGTAGCCAAAAGATCTTAAAATTTGTAGTTAGAACATTCCAATTAGATGTTGTCTCCTGAGCAACACATGGCACAGTCTCACTCAAAAATTAAAATCACAAAGATACTTGTTCAGAAAAGCTCGTGTTCCAGTGCATGCGGTCCAGTTAATTCCGACACAGAGGGACCCTGTAGGATGTAGTGCCGAGCACAACGGCCGTCGGATTTTCCTAGGCTGACTCTTGACGGGAGCAGGTCCCCAGGGTTTTCTCCCACAGAGATTCTGCTGTAGGTTCTAACCACGGACCTTCCTCTCCGCTGGAAAAGTGAACATTTATGTCATAATTTGTATTGTGATCTAAACATGATATTTAATTTATAATGAACATTATATAAACACAACAGCAATTTTTATTCTTCTCTCAAAAACCTCAAGGTCACTGTCATCAAGTCAGTTCTAACTCATAGCAAACTATAGGACAGAGTGGAACTGCCCTCATGGGCTTTCAAGACTGTAAGTCTTGCTACTGAAGTAGAAAGCTTCAGCTTGCTCTTGTGGAATTGCTGGTGGCTTTGAACTGCTGACCTTTTGGTTAGCAGCCCAGTGTGTAGCCCACTGCTCAAACCAGGGGTCATTTTTCATTCTTAAGGGTACATAAATTGGTAGTGCAGCTAAAACTAACTCCAAAGACTAAAACACTCATATTAATGTATAGTAAGCAATGTTGTTATTTAAATCACATTGTGCATTCCCATTTGCTAAGGCTGGTTTCTGGGTAGACTTAGAATGTTTAGGATTAAATTAGGAAGGGACTTTGTTGACTGCTAGACCTCCATTACCTGGACTATTGTCTAATGCATCAATGCTACTTGTTGAAAGACTAAATAGAATTGTTGTTGTTAGGTGCCATCAAGCCAGTTTCGACTCATAGCAATCCTATACACAATAGAATGAAACACTGCCTTGTCCTGCCACATCCTCACAAGTATTGTTCTATTTGAGCACATCGGTGTAGCCACTATGGTAATAATGCATATTAACATCATTAATCTACACTGTTGAGGGGCTTTCTCTTTTGTTGTTGTGCCTTCATTGTACCAAGCATTATGTCTTCTCCAAAGACGGATCTCTCCTGATAAACATGTCTCATCTTCTAAGGAGCATTTTGGTTGTACTTCCTCTAAGACAGATGTGTTTCTGCTTTTGGCAATCCATACTTTTGATATTTTTCAGCAACACCATAATTCAAATGCACTGATTCTTCTGTGGTCTTCCTTATTCATTGCCAACATTCACATGCATATCAGGTGGTTGAAAATAATATGGATTGGATTAAGTGCACCTTTTCCTCAGCGTGGACACTTTAAAGAGGTCTTGTCCACCAGGAATCAAGCTATATTCTTTGACTGCTGCTTCCATGAGCATTGATTGTAGATCTAAGTAAAATGAAATCCTCGACACCTTCCATCGTCCCTTCATTTACCACGGTATTGTCTATTGGTCAAGTTGTGAGGGCTGTTGTTTCCTTTACACTGAGTTACAATAAAATTAGATCCTGACAATTGGAAAGGAGATAGTCAGGAGAAGTATAACATGTAATACATATACATGTTAGGCTTGAGTACTGGTAATATATAAAACATTCTAAAACAGTTTTGACTTACACATACCTTAGCAGAATGATCATTTATTTTTATTTGCTCTACTTAGGGACGTGCTTCAATAACACAAGAGAAAGAAGAATATGCCCAAGAGCATGAAGAAATGAAGAACCTAGAAGCCATTGTTCAAAAACTAAAACCAACTGCTCTCATAGGTAAGCTGCCGTGTTCTACAAATTAATTTTCTTATTTGCTGAGATTCGGGGCACAGTTTAACTTTGTTTCTCTTAATTACTTTATTTTTCTCTTAAAATTCTTTCAATGAATGAAACAATTGAATCAAGTGATTGCCTTACGTGTTACTGAGTTGGCTCCCAGACTCCTAGGGACCTTAAGGGTGACAGAACAAAATGCTGCCCAATCTCTCATCACCCCCAAGACTGATTGCAGACTGGACCATAATGGTTGAATCATAGGATTTTCATTGGTTGATTTTTAAAAGTAGATGAACAATCTTTTATTCTTTATCCATCATTGTCTGCAAGCACCTCTAAAACCTCTTCAGTCTCATAGCAACACACACAATTCCAATGGCAATGATGTAATGGGTGCATGTGCCATGCATTGGCCAGGAATCAAACCCCAAACTTGGGTCTCTTTCCAGGAAGGCAAAATCTGCCATGGAACCACCCTTACCTCTTGTCTTAGGTGTCAACATTGGTTTATAAAGCACACATAGCTGAACAGATTGAAACATGCCCATATGATTACTTATAGCCAAATAATATATATTATTCATAATTTTAATTTTCCTGATACGAATTCCTGTAATCAAAAATTTCAAGTTATGGGACTATATAGCTCAGTATATTATGTGTCATAATGTTTGTTACATGTGTAATTTTGTGTTTACTTATAGAATTGTAGCCCCAAGAATTATTGACGTTAACAAACATATCTTTTTATCACTACACTTCACAAATAAATGTTCTATATTTCATTGAGGATGTGCTAGAAATGGCATGCCATGCTGCATTATTTTCTGGGCACTGGGCTATTAGATGAACTAACTGATGATAGTCCTAATTTCTGATTTCTCTCTCTTCATTAGGAGTGGCTGCAATCGGTGGTGCATTCACAGAGCAGATTCTCAAAGATATGGCTGCTTTTAATGAGCGGCCTATTATTTTTGCTTTGAGTAATCCAACTAGCAAAGCTGAATGCTCTGCAGAGCAGTGCTATAAACTAACTCAGGTAAGGAAAAGTATAGCTGATATATCAATGGCAAAGTTTTTATTCATTAAAGGAAAGTCTGTGTTTCTAAGGTTTCTAAGCTTTCCATTTCTTGTTGTTAGTTGTCATTGGGTAGATTCTGACTCCGGTCAGCCCTAAGTGTGCACCATCAAGTTTTCAAAGCTGTAACGTCTCAGAAGCAGTCACTAGGCCTGTCTTCCAAGACACCTCGAAGAGGGTTTAAACCTCTATCTTTCAGTTAGTATATGAACCCTTAACAGTTTACCCTGCCAGGGATCCCTATACACACCACAATGTTTTTTTTTTTTGGTTGGGGTGGGGGTAGGGTGGCAAAAAAATATACACACAACCAAGTGAGAAAGAAAAGTGAACAGGTCAGAAGGAATAAGATCTGTTTACTTTTCATGAATATTTTTGTAAATTTTTTTCCTGAGTCAAATAAATAAACTGTTTTCTTGATAATGTTTTACAAGTGACTTTGAAGTATCCATGATTAAAATATTATAAAAGTTAAATAAAAAGGAAAGATAGTGGTTTTAAATGCTTTATTAAAATAGGTTTTAACTACCTATTCTAAAACACTGAATCATACAGTATAAAACCACAATTTTATTTTTGCTTTGCTAAATCTTGGGTTTGGATTTTTCATGCCATGGGTGGGACTTTTGGGTGGCTTCCTTGTTATCCAGCCAGCCTTGGATAAAAGTCCTCAGTACATACATTAAAAAAAAAGACTTCTTATACCATTTTTGTATGAATACATATTTGACAGATATTTGGCAAGAGTCTTCTTTTCCCTTCCAAGACTTGAAAATATCCTGATAGAAAAATAAAGGCTGAGTCATATGTACCTAACATTTTTATTTCAGAAATAAATCTATAGTGAACTAGAAAAGTTAAACATGCCATCAAGTTATCTCACTCTACAAATCAGTACTTGATGACTCAAGTTTTTTAAATTATATCCTTAAATACTCATTATTGGAATTAATGTTGTTTTTGGTAACATCAATGTCCTCAATAATCTTAAAAAATTATAACTGTAGATTCGAGAATTTGCCTCACATTCTTCAGTAATTTTTAAATCCTTAAAACCAACACCCAAAGTCTCCCTGAGCAATAACAAGATGTTAGCATGGTGCCATGCCCAAAATAGTCAAAAACGAGTGTCTTCTTAGTGGCTTTGCCTTGTTGTATTGCTGCTGACCTCCAGGCTTCAGCGTTTCATTGTCCCGAAACACAAACTAAATCACACAATTTTATGGAGTTGTGCTTTTAATGCATCTAAAATAACGTGTGTTCTTTCTTATACTCTTATGTGGTACTCTTGTTTGGTCATACATAGATTTTAAAATCATTTTAAGGCTTGAAAATTTGAAAACCGGTTCAGCCAAAGGGTTACAAAACACAGGACGGTCTGCTTATTGCCCTGGACAGGGGTTTCAGCTCTGCAAGCACAAGTGAAAGAGTCACAAATGAGGTCATTGAGCCATGAAAACTGTCACTTAAAAATGGTGTGGCTAGGTTGCCTTCGCCAAAAGAACAGTATATCTATAAATATATGTTTAAGTATCATTTATTCAGTTTCATTTTTCCTTGAAAATCGGTGATTGTAGAAAGACTGGCAAGAAGAATAGCAAGGAAAGGGGAGGGAAATATACCAGCTTATATAATGTTGCAGTTCTTTTTCTTTATTACGATTTTCAAATCTTTATATCAGAAAGTTACTTGCAAGGAAATGTTTATTAATTCTGCTAAACAGAAATAAAAGTTTCAGAACTATCTGAAAACAAAACCTGATTTTGTACAAGAAATCCACTGTGTTGTAGACACCTCGAAGAGAATCTCTAGATATCTTCATTTTTGTATTCCCAAGAAGATTGACTCTCTATATTACATAGCTTCAAAAAGAGACAAAAGGCATAACATCTTTTTAAAATGAATATTAAGCTAACACTAATGTCTACTGAGCCGCTCCCCACCAAGTCAGCAGTTTGAACCCACTGACCGCTCTGTGAGAGAAAGGTGATGCTGTCGACTCCCATAAAGACCCTAGCTTATGGAATCGCTGTGAGTCAAAGTCGACTTGATGGCAGTGAGTTATCATCATTTAAGCTCTGCTTTGGGAATCTGTTGCTTTAGACTTATAGAATTTTAACTAATTACTATTATAATTGAGTTTTGTCTATATATTTTGGAAGCCTAAAACTGTCAACTATATCACAACTCTCACCCATTCAGATACAACGTATGCCCCCCTTTGGATTAGCTCTTTGGAATGCTAATTAGCATAGCAGGCCTCAAGTTAATGTCGTTTTAATGAATGTCCTCAAAAAATATATATCAAGACTAAACACAAACAATAAAAAGTTCATTGTTGACAAATGTTAGTAACCTATTTTCCCCTTGATTGGTAATCACACTTATGATAATGGGTTCATTCCTTATATTATTTTCCAAATAGCTCTTTACGATATAGAAATAGAATTTGTCCAAATGATTATTTTGGAAGTGTTTGGGTCACTAAACTCTAGTCTAAAATATCAGTATTTCCAGTAGTTTACTATTGAGCAGTCACTTTTTATTTTCAAAAGTCTATCATTGGAATTCTATATTCACATTGTTGGTGGGCCTTCAGTGGGCCCCTGGAGATAACAGAGCAGTAGTCTTGGAGTGTACAGTATTCTATAAACTTCTCTTGGAATCAATAAACAATAATAACAACTCACTCCAGAATGTATTATCCAACATCACAAATATTTGCTCAGATAATTAGGGAATTAATGAAAAACTAGATTTCTTCTAAAATAACCATATTTTGACAGGCAGTTCTGTTTTGACATTTACCCATGTCTGTTTTTAACTGGAATAGTAATCCTTCTTTTGAAAATAAGTGGTTTGTGTGCCTGTGTTGCAGGGCCGTGCAGTGTTTGCCAGTGGCAGCCCTTTTGATCCAGTCACTCTTCCAAATGGACGGACCTTGTATCCTGGCCAAGGCAACAATTCGTATGTGTTCCCTGGAGTTGCTCTTGGTGTTGTCGCTTGTGGACTGAGGCACATCACGGATAAGATCTTTCTCACAACGGCGGAGGTACTGTAAAATACTCTACATTTGTCAAGGCAATAAAATACAAAATGAGCTTTAGGAATTGGGTACTGCCATATCTGACCTCTGACCTCTTCCAGCTACACAAGGGGAAGGAGAATACAACTTCATCTCTGCCCAAGGATAACTCCTATGAGGCAGAGGTCAGACATGCCTCCACCTGGCAACTTCCTTTACCATATTCCAGTGCCAAGCATTCCTCCTACAACGCTTTGCTTCTCTGCTGGCTTTGATGATCTATCTCAATAGCTACACAAAATTCACAGATCATATCCACCATCATGGGGGTTTACTAGCAGTCAGGACCAGAGAACATTAAGGAAACAGCCTTTGGGTGCAGTGTTTCTTTTCAGCCATGCGAGCCATGCCTCTTAGCCAAGGGGTCATTTGGCCTGCTCCTGCACTTGTTACAAAGTTCTTTTAGTGCTGGCAGATGCCTACTAGGCACATCACTCTGAAAACCAGCCTCCACCCCCACCCCCCACCCCACCCCCGAAGGCACTCAGTTGTACATATTCTGTGGGCTGGCAAGCCCACTGTAGCTCTGCCTCTTGGCATTGCTTCTCTGCTTTATTTCATGGCCTCAGGGCTGCAGCCTTGATTATCTCTGCCTCTTCAAGCAGGGATTTCACACACGCTCTGCTGGTGGCTCTTCATGTGACTCCTCTGTGCCGGCTTCGAAGATGGCTCACTCTTTTTTGTTTCAGATTCATTGGGATTAATACATTATTAAATCATTCCCTAGTTCAATCACATCCATCAAAGTTGTATGTTTGTGACCCCAAGCAGTTTCCAAACATTCTTTTTCTCTATGGTCATCAACCCTTCATCCCACCAACCCCTCTGTGTCCCCCTCCCTCCAAAACCCTTATTCCACTTGCTGACTCTGTAGATCTCACTCTTATACCCAGAGGAATGGCAAAACCAACCAATATCTAGAGTTTTTAACACCTTATTTGCATACTCCCACCCAGTCACTTGGTGGGAGTTACAAAGACTGTGAATAGAAGAGCCATTCCAAGTGATTTTACTTCATTGGTGTCTGATTTTCCCCTATAATCCTTACTTATTCTCTAGAAGATACAAAGCTTGAAGAAGAGAAAATCTTTTCCAAAGAAAAGTTAATGGTTCATAATGAATTTATATTAAAAATGGCTTTTCTGTAGCCAGTAGAAAAGTTGGTTGTCTTTTCTTAAAAGGAACCCTCTTTTATCATCACACTTCCAAGAACTCTGTGATAGTATTGAGAGAGTTAAAAAACAATATTTATAAGTAACAATTAAGTGACAAATATTTCTTCATTGAGAAATTTCCCATAATAATGACATTTGAAAGACTTAAAATGGCATTCTGGCATGATAGAGCATGTTTATCCATCAGGGTTCAGTACAGAAAACAGAAACAACTCTTTTCAGCAGAAAGTAAATTTAAACAGTAAACTAAGCATTTGTTAAATACTTAAGAAGTACCTGTGTGGTGCAACTAGTTAATGCTGCCAGATGCTAGCATAAAGGTTGGAAGTTCAAATCTACCTAGAGGTGCCTTGGAAGAAAGAACTGGCAACCTGCTTTCAAATAATCAGCCTTTATAAACCTATGGAGCACAGTTCTACTTTGACACATATAGGACATACAGGGGACCATGAGTCAGAATCATTCCATGGCAACTAGACTGGACTTTAAAAGAAATTATTACAAGAATGAGAAGTGGGCTTTAGTGTGAGCCTTTAGGAAATGGTCGCTGTGAGTTGGCATCGACTCAGTGGCTATGAGTTTGAAGGGTTTTGTTTCCAGGAAAGATGCTAATAATATAAGACAACCAATGTATTGAGGAAACTCATGCTGTCAAGAACTGTAAAGACTCTTGAGATTTTATCTTACATGCAAGCCTTCTAGTTGCCTAGCTACTGGGAGAGAACATGAAACTTTTAGGTCAGAGACAAAGGCCTTTCTGACTCATAGGATAACAGGTATCACGGCTGTCTGCATCGTTCCCCTTTGCCCTCCAGTTCCCCTGGAGACAATGCGGTGTTGGACATAGGTGTTTGGCACATATTTGTAAAATCATGTATTTGGGTTTTTAATCATTTATTTTATCTGTGGTGGTGGTAGTGGTGGTGTTAACACTGTGCACAGCAGAACATCCCCAATTACACAATCTCTACAGTTGTATTTAAGTGATAGTAATTGCATTCTTCAAGGTCTCAGAATGTTCATCTGATTTGTGATATTTTCAAACTTAAACATGATACTATTCACAGGCAAGCTAATTTCTTCACTTAAAATTAAACTACAACACGATGACTAAACTTCACAAAAACATTAATGACTAGGATGCTATTTTTACCATCTCTGCTGTTCTTTCCATTCTGAAGAAGACACCCCAGGATGCAGATAGATGTTTTGTTACTGATATAACCCACAAAATTAGCATCGTGCATTCTGCTATAGAAACACTTCATTTCTAACCTTTTTCATTTCTATAGTAGAATAAATGACAGCTCATCTTTCAGGGTTTAACTAAAGAAATATGCATCAAACATAAGTAGATGCCTAATTCCTAAGCAAGTTTTTATGCTCTTAAAATGAGAACATTGTATGTAGTCCTTGTCATTATAACAGTCATACTAGAAGAGGGGTGGGGGAAAAAAGTGCATCTTACACTAGCCAGTGATTTTTCTTAAATAACTCTAGCACCCTCTAGTGACAAATTTTTTAACAGTCGTTTCCCTCCCCTCCCCCGCCCCCCCTCAATTCTAAACAGGAAAAGTAATGATCAGTACTAAAAAAAAACAACAAAGAAAAGTAATAAAAGGTGGTGATACCAGCAGTGTCATTGTCATCAAACCCAGTGATCGCTCTGACTTCATCTTTGGTTTGGCATTTCCAAAGACTTCCTCTTAGGTTTCCATACAGCATTCATATTTTTCATACGAAGTCTATTTTGGCTCTTTCGTGGTTTTCTTTGTTTCTTGTTCATAGCCATTTCACTAAGGATTTTTTTCTTTTAACATTCATTTTTGCTTCTACGTTTTTGTATAACTTTCAGAGATCTTATATGCATTAATTCATTATCATAATGTTTTCATTAATTTCATTCTGATGTCCCAATTCCCATCTTTTCCCCTATCTCCCATCTCTGCTGCATCTCACTCCCATCAAGTCAATTCTGACTCATAGTGATCCTACAGGGCAGGGGAGAGCTGCTCTTGTGGCCTTCAAGATTCTAACTCTTTACAGAAGTAGGAAGCCTCTAGTTCTCCTGCAGAGCAACGGGTGGTTTCAAACTGCTCAGCCTGTCAAAATGCCTGGTTGTACTTTCCGATGCACACATTTAAACTGTACTCATCTCCATCCCTCATCTTCAGGACTCACGCTCTATTCGTAATCATACCCCTTTAGAAGCAGACACCAAAGCTTAGAGCGTGACATTTTTCACCTTCACCTCACAATCTTCAAACAAACCATGTATTGTACGTCCTGTCTGGAGAGCCCCTATCTAAGCCCTGATGGTGTAGTGGTTCTCTGCTGGGCTGCTAACCTCGGTCAGCAGTTCAAAACCACCAGCTCCTTCTTGGGAGAAAGACCATGCTTCGCTTTTCATTCCTCTAAAGAGTTAAAGTCTTAGAAACCCACAGGGGCAGTTCTACCCTGCCCGAATCAACTTGATGGCAGTGAATTTGGGGTCGATTTGCTATCTAAGCTCTATTGTTCAGGGCACTGTTTTAAGTGCAACCTCATCCCTAAATCTTTTGATGACTGTTCTGGCTCATCATTTTTCTTCATCTCAGCTGTCTTTATTGACTATTTGACATTTAATTTTAGTCAGTTTTGGTGTGCTCTTGAGAACTTCAGGTTTTAAACACTTGAGTTGGCTCTACAATTAAATTACAAATTACCTTCTTAGAAGCTATATTTCATCTTTTATATATTAAATATAATTACATGTATATGTATTTCTTTGGGGGCTCCACTGGCATATAACACAATGCTAAGCAAACGTAGGTGCGATAGAGTTAGTTCCGACTCATAGTGACCCTATCTACAACTGGTCAAAGCATTGCCTGATGTAGCCTCATTGCACAGTTGTTGGGTTTGAGCCCATTGTTGCAGCCACTGTCAGTCCCATCTCTTGAGGATCTTCATCTTTTTAGCTGAACCTTTCATTTAGCGAGCACATAGCAGAAATTAAATAGAAGGACCAATAAAAAGGTATCACTACAAAATCATAGAAATCTTTACTAAACAAAAATATCTCAAAATATAAAGCTGTTGTGTTTTTATGTACCCTCCTTCTACGTCCACACACTTCTGAAGGTGGTGTTTCCATCTCTCTCATCCTCCCCTGAAGTATGGTGTGCATTTCACTACAACATTTTTAGCATCCTCTAAAGCAGCAGTTCTCAACCTGTGGGTCGTGACCCCTTTGGGGGTTGAACGACCCTTTCACAGGGGTCACCTGATTCATAACACTAGCAAAATTACAGTTATGCAGTAGCAACGAAAATAATTTTATGATTGGGGGTCACCACAACAAGAGGAACTAAAAGGGTCATGGCATTAGGAAGATTGAGAACCATTGCTCTAAAGTATTCCTTTTAGAGATTTTTTTTTTTCTATTACAACAATGCACCTGCTCCTTCTTCAAGGATAGCAAGGGGTATTCTACTATAATGTCACTGGAAAACATTACCCTATTGAAGAAAGAAGTGACATTGGGTGTCTGACCTTCTCCAGCTCTACAAGGGGCAAATAAATTCAAGCCCCCACATCAGCATCTCCTAGGCTGATTTCTCTGTGTATGTATGAATTAGAGGAGCCCTGGTGGTGTAGTGGTTATGTGTTGAGCTGTTAACTGCAGGGTCAACAGTTCTAAACCACCAACCTCTGCAGCATAAAGACAGGATTTACAGCTCCTATAAGAAGTTACAGCCTCAAAAACACACAGAAGCAGTTCCACCCTGCCCTGTTGGGTTGCTATGATTT